TATGATAAATTAACCTATATAGCTATCCAAATAATATTTCTTTATATGTTTTTACATTGAGTAATTTCATCATTCATGTTATTCCATAGGATAGGTCCAAACACTGTAATAAAAAATAGACTACTTTTCAAACTGACAAACAGAACGTATAAATCATTAGTTTTCTTTAAATTATAGTTATGCCCACTCTATTTACAATAAAAAGTGGGAATTGACCATTTGTATATTGAAACATAATAGAGGCTACTTGGATTTTATGGATTTTATGGAATTGAAATGAATTTCGATGAGCATGGACACCGGTACTCCACCAGAAATGCATGGACATTTCCATATTGGCAAACTTACACCAATTAGAATTTTATATTCAAAATTGTTTTAATATTTGGAATATATTGTCCTTTTTACTTGAATGAATATGAAATGCAGCATTGTTGATTGTTGTTGTGTTTGGTGGCCGTTGCCAAGATGGATGATTCCTAGAATATTCACACCGAATAATTATCACGAAGTACTAAACGTGTTCAGCCATTAATTAGGAATATTTATTAGCCTCCAATCCACTCGCTTTACACTTTCAATTTATATGAATATATTACAATTGTCATGTTATCTTTCTTTCTGAAGCATGTTGTGTGGTAATGGGGTAGGGGGTAGTCAGAATTTGAATGTGTGTTATTTAATTTTAAAACACATTACCTTGATATTTTGAAGTTGACGTAGAGGTACGTGTCCCGAGTCGAAGCTTTCTGACGTCACAATATCAATACCATGCTCAATTAAATATCCTTTCGTTATGTCGAAATGCTTCATTATACAGTACATCAATTTTTGAAATAAAAATAATGCATAAATTACCATGGCATCTCAAATGAATTAAATTCTTCTAAAAATTACTGTTTAAAAAAACCAATTATTTTTTTGCCTGTTGTATATCAAAAACAATTGACCTACATCTGTTTCTTAAACGTGATTGGCCGTTCAATTCTATTGGCTCAACCACTATTTTACCTGTACTTTAAATTCTGCTGATGGGTAACCATAAAACCCTCTACTTTAGCAACCACTCTTATGTGATTGTTTGTTTAGCCACCGGTTGCCTTGGCCGTCATTGTTGTTTAATTTCATATAATAGGCCTAATCATCAGGCAGCACTGCGACCCAATGTGTCGCACCTTTATTTCATGACATGTTAATGTTCACTGTGGCGGCATCTAAAGCCCCAAAAAATTAAACATTATATTTGCCAAAAAATGAATGCCGACACAAATAATCCTACCAAGTTCCGTGTCACTGTCATTAATGATATCGGTTGTCTATTTCATTGATAAAAATATATTCTTACATTTGAAAAATATTCGTTGTTTTCGTGTATGACTGCAACTCGTTTCCAGTTGTACGTATTAAGAATGGCTAATCTCGGAGGATTCATCGCCGAGGACGGTGGATTTGTCCTATAAAAATACCTGTAGCGTTCACCATCCGAGAGTGCATCAGAAAGAGCCGAATTTCCTACCTATATCAAACATTTCATTTGAAAGTTATTTGAAAACAACAGGGGCGGATCGAGAGGGGGCATGGGGGTCATCCCCCAAAAGAGAGAAGGGGGGGGGGGGGGGGGGGGGTGGAGAGAGAAAGAAAAAAAAATAAAAGATAATAGCTAGGCCTATTTATTAATTATTACAGTACTTCAGTTGGTGTTGGTTTTTCTTGATTACGCTGGCATCAACAAGGCTCGTGTGACTGCCATTTGCGCGCGCGTGTAGGGCCACCATCTGCACGCATATTTAGTCGATCTTATTATTTTTACATGCCAAATTTTTCCATTAATTAACGATATGTAAGTCAAATTTTATCTAAGGTGAACCCTGAAATTTTTCAATGCCATTTTGGATTCGACTTCAGCAAGTTTAACTCTAAGCAGGAGTCATAAGTAAAGGCAGTGCTTAATGCGTATCACAACGGATACCAACCATAATGCATCATATTCATGAAGTTATTTACCATAAATTAGTTGTTGAAAACTAATAATCAAAGAATTAATTTTGTTTTGATATGTTCATTAATAATTTTAGCAATGTTATTTGTTCATACTATATAATTATAAAGTCAGTGATTATGCCCATCACCATGGATACCAATATCATACTGCATCATATTGATGAAATAACTATTTTATACCCAATTCGTTGCTATTGAACATATGTGGTCACTGAATGATAGAATAAAAGTACAATCTTTTGGCATAGTTACCGTACATCGGTATTTGCGAATTGTATTTATGAGTATATAATAAATTAATGCCAACATAATATCCAACATAATAATATATAATAATATATCGTACCTACATCAGTCATAAGAGCCATTCGGCAGAAAATGTGTTTATGAATATATTTTTAACGACTCCATAACAATAGAACACAATCTAATTCTTTAGTGTGTAATAATAATTCTAATGTACGGCCGTCTCAGTGATACTTTCTCCAAAAAATTCTTAATATTGGGAGGGGGAACCCACTTCCAAAACACCGAGTGAGACCCCTCTAATTATCATCCTAGATCCGCCCCTGAACAATATTGTGTTGTTATACAATCGTTATCAAA